AGTCCACACCTCAGTCACACCTCAGAGTCCACACCTCAGAGTCCACACTTCAGTCACACCTCAGAGTCCACACCTCAGAGTCCACACCTCAGTCACACCTCAGTCACACCTCACGGTCCATACCTCAGTCACACCTCAGAGTCCACATCTCAGTCACACCTCACAGTCACACCTCACAGTCACACCTCACAGTCCACACCTCACAGTCCATGCCTCACAGTCATGCCTCATGGCTGACACCTCACGACCCACTCCCCAACGTCACATACCTCACAGTCCACACCTCAGTCCACACCTCACAGTCCACACCCCACAGTCCACACCACACAGTCCACACCTCACAGTCCACACCTCAAAGTCACACATCATAGTCCACACCTCACAGTCCACACCCCACAGTCCACACCTCACAGTCCACACCCCACAGTCCACACCTCACCGTCCCACATCACGGTCCACACTTCACTGTCCATGACTGATAGTCATGCCTCATGGTCAGACCTCACATCCACACCTCACGGTCACACTTATTGGGTCACACTTCCTGATCCACACCTCATACCTGCTAGAGCAGGAAAGACCTCAGTTTTCAGAGGAACGTTTATGGAAGTTTCAAGTCAGCAGGGATCCTGGATGCCATCCACTAAGACTCATGAGCAGCTACTCCTTGTGCCCCCTGGTGCACCCCAGGCCAGCCCCGCCCTCTCTGTGCCTCAGCCTCCTCCCCAGGGCCCCGCCAGGCCTCCGGTGGCACCTGTGGCTCTCCTGCAGCATGTGCGTGAGCTCCTGGATCTTGTCATAGTGCTCCAGGTGCTGCTTCAGCTCCACAATCTCACCACACAGCCTCGTCACACTTGTCTGAAGTCCTGAAAGAGAAAGAAAAGAAAGTGCCACTTTTTAGTAAAACTCAACCATACATTTTGAAAATGAAAACAATTTTAGATTTACACTGGATCTTGGTTACCAGAAGAAGAATATAGCGGGCAAAGATCAGTTTTAATGAGACTCAAAGACAGGGTGGGCATGAATGCCACGGCCCCACCTGTGCTGTTTCTACCCCCACCTTCCCAGGGCTGAAGCTGTGTGGCCTGCCCTCCACAGCCCCCCACGGAGCCACACCCGTGTGAGAGCAGGGGAAGGTGGCACCGGCTGGAGGCCCCACCACTGGGCCCGTCTGCTGGCTTCTCCTCCACCAGGAAGCATGCTGTGCCCCTCACGGGAGAGCCCTTGGGTTTCAGGAAAAGCACCAAGTGGCCTACAGTGGCCACAGTTCTCCCCAGCACCCTCTGCCTCTGCACCCATCAGTGGCGAAACACGTGGCTGGTTTCCATCTACAAACCCCTATCTGTTTCTGGATTTCCAACGCAAGAGGAAGAGAGAGATATTCTTTAGTGGCTTCCCAAATCCACACATGGGATACAAATAAACACACATACAGACCCACTCCTACAGAACCACATGGTGACCAAGGCAGTGAGAAAGCCGGGGTGGGGGGAAGGTGGCAGGCAAAGGGTGACGGTGACACCTACAGCAGGCTCTCCTCACCCACAAGGCAGTGGCGCTGCAGGAGCAGCCACAGTGTTAAGGCCATGCCACGCCATGCCACGTGGAGTCTGTGTCGACATATATGTTCACGGAGGGCATGAGTGAAGGAAACGCAGGGCGGCACCATTTTGGGACATTCCACAGTCCCCATGGTGGTCAAACCCAGAGTCCTTAAATGGCAAAAAAATCTAAGCTACAGCACCCCAGAAACAACACGACAGCACCCCGGGGACAACACTACAGCATCCAGGGACACCACGACAGCACCCCAGAAACAACACTACAGCATCCCAGAGACAACATGACAGCACCCCAGAAACAACACAACAGCACCCCAGAGACAACAGTACAGCACCTCAGGGATACCACGACAGCACCCCGGGGACACCACGACAGCACCCCAGAGACAACAGTACAGCACCCCGGGGACACCACGACAGCACCCCGGGGACACCACCACAGCTCCCTGGGGACAACACTACAGCTTCCCAGAGATAAGGAAGCCTTGGGACCCCAAACACAAGAGCTGGGACAAACCCCCAGCAGCCACATGTCACACACCTTATCCACCTCTGTGGGGGTGAGGCAGTTGCCAGCAGTGGGTAGCTGACAGCCCCCAAGTGTCCTTGCACCCTTGGGAAACCCAGTGGGCCAACTAGGGAACCACAGCCCCCCACCCAAGATGGTGAGGCCAGGGAGCCCCGTGTGGTGTGGAAAAGCTGGTGCAGCCCTGTTATTCCTCAAAGCTGACCCACCTGGCCCCTTGTAGAACAGGGCCTGCACCAGGAGGAACAATGGGTGTGGGGTCAGGGTCAAGGTCAAGCAGATGACAGCATCAGAGAAGGGTGGAGGAGAGAACAGGGCCTGAGAATCCCCAGGAGGAGGCTGCCCTGGCCTTGATCCATGAGGTCAGAAAGCTGTCCTGACCCTGCCTCCTCCTTGAAGTTCAGAAGAATAAATTTCACGTAAAAAGGAGTGGAAAGTATTGAAGCCAAACCCCACAGTTTCTGTAAGACAAAGGGTAAGGGCACAAGGACATCATATGACAAGCCACGCCCACAGAATGAACACACACCGTAGCCATTATTTCAAAATGAGCAAAATACAACAAGGAAATGCCAGAAGAGATGAAAAAACAATGATGGAAATGTCAGAAAAGAGATGTCTGAACTCAGGGAAGAATTAGCAATAAAAGAAAAAATTCACACTGGAAGGAAGGTTAAGGAGCTAAGACAGAGTCCAGCAAGTCCTCGCTTCCCGCTGATGGTTCCCAGAAACGGCCACGAAGCAAAGCAACCGCCGTGTAACGCAGCCGACTTCAGCATCCACACAGGCTGCCACGGGAGCCAGAGTGACGCTCCCACGGTGTGTAATGAAGCCGACTTCAGTGTCCACACAGGCTGCCCACGGGAGCCAGAGTGACGCTCCCACGGTGTGTAACGAAGCCGACTTCAGTGTCCACACAGGCTGCCCACGGGAGCCAGAGTGACGCTCCCACGGTGTGTAACGCAGCCAACTTCAGTGTCCACACAGGCCACCCACATGAGCCACAGTGACGCTCCCACAGCGTGTAACAAAGCCGACTTCAGCGTCCACACAGGCCACCCACAGGAGCCACAGTGACGCTCCCACAGCATGTAACAGTCACCTTCACTGTCCACACAGGCTGACAGGAGCCGGAGTGACATTCCCACAGCATATAATGAAGCCACCTTCACCATCCACACAGGTTACCACGCCACATCCACGCCAAGACCTCCCCAACACGTGTCTGTGGCACAAACTGCGGCGGAGGCAGCCTCCACGCCAGCCGCGAGGCAGGGGCTCGGCGCTGCACGTACGAACTGCGTCTGCGGCTGCTCCCTCCCTCAGTGAGAATTTAAACAGGTCTACCCAGGCACACCCGAACACTGACATTTTACGCCGTCCTACCAAACAAACTTACCAGTGATCTGCAAATTTAATGTAGCTGCAGCGTCTGCATTTTTCACCTCCTTTTTCATACTGAACAAAAGCGATTTTAAGCCACTATTCTCTTCTAAAGATGTATCTAAATGTTGTCTCAAATCATTCTGGGGACACAGAAAATACAGAAAATGCACAAGTCAAATTCAGTAAAATGCATAAAGAAAACAGAACTGAAACCTTTTGAAAATCCCAGAGGGTTCCTTTCGCTTAGTCACAATGTGAAGGCAACGATTCCGTTTCTGGCAAAGCTCCCTCCTCTGAGCCCCGAGCCTTACCCAGCCCCAAAGCACCCTTGGGAAGGTGTGGGAAGAGAGGAGGGGACGGAAAGGGGCACCCCAGCCTGTGAGAGCCCCACTTCTGAGTCTCCCCATACCTCCTGCACCCTCAGGGTAGGGGCAGAAAGACAGGAGGGTACAGAAAGGGGCGTCTGGCCCCGAGAGATCCCCACTCTTGAGTATCCCAAGAGGCATGTGCTCCCGCGGGACCTGCAGGCCAGATGCCGGAGAGGGCAGCTGGTGGTGGCTGGGGCCTCCCAAGACGCCCTCACGGACACTGCAGGTCCCAGGCCTTGGTGCCAACATGAGGCACGGGGGGCCTGCAGGAACTCCCTTCTGCTCTGGCTCTCATATCCTCAAAGTACGGAGAACACATCGAGCACAGGACAAGCTGTCATCAAGGAGAGGACAGGGCCATGCCGCAGCCACATGGCAGCTGTCCCTCCCCGGCCCCAGGTGCTTATTGAGGCATGAGCCATCCAAGCCGCCAGCAGCTGCAGCCAAGGACCCCAGGGATCCAGTCTCACCTGCCTGCTGCTTTCTCAGGCACCAGCAGGCATATCCCAGGGCCGGGTGTGCTGAGCGGGCCCCACCTTGCTGTCCCCAAGGGAGGGAGCACTGGCGAATGTGCAGTACAGCCCTCGTGCTCGGGGTATCTCCGCTCGCAGAGCCCACCCGCCAATGGCCCCCTTGGCATGCAGACATCCACCAGGCTCCCAACACCTGTGGTGAGGGCTCATCACTGGGTCCGAGACTCCAGCACCCGCGGTGAGGGCTCATTGCTGGGAGGGCTCATCGCTGGGTCCGAGACTCCAACACCCGTGGTGAGGCCTCATCGCTGGGTCCGAGACTCCAACACCCGTGGTGAGGCCTCATCGCTGGGTCCAAGACTCCAACACCCGTGGTGAGGGCTCATCGCTGGGTCCGAGACTCC